AGCAACCAGAACTATCTTTCCCAAGCATAAGAGCTAGAGAAGTAATAACATATCCACTACCGCAACCAACTTCCATGCAAATTGAAGGACGGTGCTCTAATAAGTTTGCTCTATCCGCTAGAAGTGCATCAACCAATGCAAATGAATCATCACATGGGTCATACACTTCAGGATGTGAACTCACCAGACGGATTTGGGCAATATTGGAAAGCATTTTGAATAAAATCTGCAGAAATATTTTGATCTAATGAAGTATGTAAAGCAATGGACTTGAAAATTGTTGATATCAACAATAGTAACTTCAGTCATGTTACAGAAACTCTACATACATAAAAGAATCAGAGATGGAAATCCATTTGTAGCTTCTTGTATAGTTGCCTCGGAGTTGAGTTTCTAGATTCAAGAATTCTCGTATCATATAAATCAATACCAAAAATTAACTTAGCCTTCCTGTTTTTTCATTTTGGGCAGATAGCAGTGCAGGTCCCTAAGCTTTTCAGTGTAACAAGTTGGTCCCAACCTATTACTTCACTGCTTTGAAAGCACACTCCCCCGCCTTCCCCCTTATAGTTTCCCCAATTCCCACCATCCCTTGTGACCAATTTGCTACAAACTTGAAAGGCTGGAGACGACTTAATAGGAATGTTCATTGCTATTCTTCCTTTCATGATTTCCAGGAAGTAGTTAATCAACTTTGAACTCGGAGTATTTTTTGTTTCCCGAACGTCAATTAAAGACCTTCAACGGTTTTATATTTTACATTAAAAAAAAAAAATCAATCTCCTCCAATTCATTCAGCATTTCTCAAATAGAACAAATTGATCTTTAAGTGACAAGAATCAATTGTCATCCAGCACAAATTTTACCAGACGGGCAGTCAGTTCTAACGGCAAGGAGAAAACCATAAACAACCACATCAAAATTCAAGAGAGATTGTCGAGAAAATCTCTGTTATGTAACGAAGATTACTACTAAAGAACCAACAATTTTGGGGAAAAAACAAATAAATTCAAGGAGCTAGAAGATAATGAGAGTGGCTGATGGACGAAGTGTTCAAATTAAATCATTCAAAACAATCAAATCGCATGCGAAATTAATATATAAAGCCCGTTTTTGCACAAATACCTTCCAGGATAGGTTATGCAGAAGTTGACTTGTCCTGGTAGAAATCACGGCAACACACGATAAATTGGTGACGAGAAACCCTTAGTCCTAGACTCCTATTGCTCTGTCACTGTCAATAAGACTTCAAACGGGACTGGGTTATAGTTGAATAGGGAAAAATTCATAAGGTGTATTCTTTACACCAATTCAAAAATAAGGTTTATAGTTTGAAACTTCAAAAATCAGGTTTTTTTTTTTTTTTTTTAATTCTAATATAATATAATATAATAAACCCACCCCACATGCACCACCCCCCTACTCCGGTGACT